TGCGTGGAGGGATCCCAGTTCTAGGCATGCGTGGAGGGATCCCAGTTCTAGTCTTGCTTAGAGGGATCCCAGTTCTAGTCATGCTTGGAGGGATCCCAGTTCTAGGCATGCGTGGAGGGATCCCAGTTCTAGGCATGCTTGGAGGGATCCCAGTTCTAGGCATGCGTGGAGGGATCCCAGTTCTAGGCATGCTTAGAGGGATCCCAGTTCTAGTCATGCTTAGAGGGATCCCAGTTCTAGGCATGCGCGGAGGGATCCCAGTTCTAGTCATGCTTGGAGGGATTCCAGTTCTAGTCATGCTTGGAGGGATCCCAGTTCTATGCATGCTTGGAGGGATCCCAGTTCTAGGCATGCTTGGAGGGATCCCAGTTCTAGTCATGCTTAGAGGGATCCCAGTTCTAGTCATGCTTGGAGGGATTCCAGTTCTAGTCATGCTTGGAGGGATTCCAGTTCTAGGCATGCGTGGAGGGATTCCAGTTCTAGGCATGCGTGGAGGGATCCCAGTTCTAGGCATGCTTAGAGGGATCCCAGTTCTAGTCATGCTTAGAGGGATCCCAGTTTCTAGGCATGCGCGGAGGGATCCCAGTTCTAGCCATGCTTGGAGGGATTCCAGTTCTAGTCATGCTTGGAGGGATCCCAGTTCTAGGCATGCTTGGAGGGATCCCAGTTCTACGCATGCGTGGAGGGATCCCAGTTCTAGTCATGCTTGGAGGGATCCCAGTTCTCGGCATGCTTGTTAGGGATCCCAGGATTTAATGCATGCACAGACTCCTCTAGGTCCTATAGATCTCCTGGTCTCTCTGGTGTACTACATAAGAGAGGATTCAAGAAGCAAAGACTGTAAAAAGAAAAAAAAAGATTGGTGAACAAAGGGGGGAAAGCAGCCATGTTCCTCCGTCATACATGGAACTCCAACGGACCATCCCTCCCGTCAATCACTAATGCTTATTACCGGAATCCTCATTGAGATGTCTCTCTATTCCTGACTTTCACCTTCCCCTGGGATCACAGATTCCAATACTCCAGCCAATCACACGCAAGTCCTTCTGTCCTGAGGTGGGGGCAGAGTCAATGTCAATCAATTGTAATGGAAGGCTTCAATAGTTAATAGTATCACAAAATAGCACCAGATCAACACAAAGTAGATAAGACCCCAAACGCATGACATTTGTGCCAACGCTCGTTGGACCCAATTCACAAAGTGTTGACATCTGGAGAGGATCTTTATTTTTAGCCATTTTCAAATCTCATTGACTGAACTGAAAATAACTGTCATTTTTTTTAAAATCTTTAGCCTTGTGTGGTGTTATTTTCCAACTGCCATTTTTTTAAAGGGCAACTTTGGACCCGTTTACTCTTTTTATGGTGTGCGTTACTGTCATACGTTTGTGTGTGTTACGTAAATGCAGTCCCTACCATGCTTTAAAAATTCCCTTTGCAATGAGGCTCCCCTTGCCCGGCAAGGGGTTAAATGTTCATGTAGGCCTAGGGCAGTGATGGCGAACCTTTTTGAGCCCGAGTGCCCAAACTGCAACCCAAAACAACTTATTTCTTTCAAAGTGCCAACACTGCAATGAAACCTGAATATCGAGCTTTTGGTTTAGAAAAAACAACTCGTACAGTAGTGCACAAACTAATTAACAGTACAGGGATGACCAGAGACTGCGGACAGTACAGGGATGACCAGAGACTGCGGACACAGTACAGGAGATGACCAGAGACTGGGGACAGTACAGGAGATGACCAGAGACTGCGGGACATAGTACAGGAGATGACCAGAGACTGCGGACACACAGTACAGAGATGACCAGAGACTGCGGACACAGTACAGGAGATGACCAGAGACTGCGGACACAGTACAGGAGATGACCACAGAGACTGCGGACACAGTACAGGGATGACCAGAGACTGCGGACAGTACAGGGATGACCAGAACTGCAGACAGTACAGGGATGACCAGAGACTGCGGACACAGTACAGGGATAACCAGAGACTGCGGACACAGTACAGGAGATGACCAGAGACTGCGGACAGTACAGGGATGACCAGAGACTGCGGACAGTACAGGGATGACCAGAGACTGCGGACAGTACAGGGATGACCAGGACTGCAGACACAGTACAGGGATGACCAGAGACTGCGGACAGTACAGGGATGACCAGAGACTGCGGACACAGTACAGGGATGACCAGAGACTGCGGACACAGTACAGGAGATGACCAGAGACTGCGGACAGTACAGGGATGACCAGAGACTGCGGACACAGTACAGGGATGACCAGAGACTGCGGACAGTACAGGGGATGACCAGAGACTGCGGACAGTACAGGAGATGACCAGAGACTGCGAACAGTACAGGAGATGACCAGAGACTGCGGACAGTACAGGAGATGACCAGAGACTGCGGACAGTACAGGAGATGAACCAGAGACTGCGGACAGTACAGGAGATGACCAGAGACTGCGGACACAGTACAGGGATGACCAGAGACTGCGGACAGTACAGGGATGACAGAACTGCGAGTACAGGAGGACAGACTGGGACACTAGTACAGGGAACCAGAGACTGCGGACACAGTACAGGGATGACCAGAGACTGCGGACAGAGACTGGGATGACGGACTGCGGACAGCACAGGGATGACCAGAGACTGCGGACAGACAGGGATGACCAGAGACTGGCGGACAGCAACAGGGGTATGACCAGAGACTGCGGACAGCAATGGATGGAGACTGCGGACAGCACAGAGATGACAGAGACTGCGGACAGCACAGGGGTCTCTGACCAGAGACTGCGGACAGCACAGGGATGACCAGAGACTGCGGACAGCACAGGGATGACCAGAGACTGCGGACAGCACAGGAGATGACCAGAGACTGCGAACAGCACAGGAGATGACCAGAGACTGCGGACAGTACAGGAGATGACCAGAGACTGCGGACACAGTACAGGGATGACCAGAGACTGCGGACACAGTACAGGGATGACCAGAGACTGCGGACAGTACAGGGATGACCAGTAGACTGCAGATCACAGTACAGGAGATGACCAGAGACTGGGGACAGTACAGGGATGACCAGAGACTGCGGGACAGCACAGGGATGACCAGAGACTGCGGACAGTACAGGGATGACCAGAGACTGCCGGACAGCACAGGGATGACCAGAGACTGCGGACAGCACAGGGATGACCAGAGACTGCGGACAGCACAGGGATGACCAGAGACTGCGGACAGCACAGGGATGACCAGAGACTGCGGACAGCACAGAGGATGACCAGAGACTGCGGACAGCACAGGGATGACCAGAGACTGCGGACAGCACAGGGATGACCAGAGACTGCGGACAGCACAGGGATGACCAGAGACTGCGGACAGCACAGGGGATGACCAGAGACTGCGGACAGCACAGGGATGACCAGAGACTGCGGACAGCACAGGGATGACCAGAGGACTGCGGACACAGTACAGGAGATGACCAGAGACTGGGGACACAGTACAGGGATGACCAGAGACTGGGGACACAGTACAGGGATGACCAGAGACTGCGGACAGCACAGGGATGACCAGAGACTGCGGGTAGGGGGGCAGCACAGGGATGACCAGAGACTGCGGACAGCACAGGGGATGACCAGAGACTGCGGACAGCACAGGGATGACCAGAGACTGCGGACAGCACAGAGATGACCAGAGACTGCGGACAGCACAGGGATGACCAGAGACTGCAGACAGCACAGGGATGACCAGAGACTGCGGACAGCACAGGATGACCAGAGACTGCGGACAGCACAGGGATGACCAGAGACTGCGGACAGCACAGGGATGACCAGAGACTGCGGACGCACAGCACAGGGATGACCAGAGACTGCGGACAGCACAGGAGATGACCAGAGACTGCGAACAGCACAGGAGACCAGGAGACCAGAGACTGCGGACAGCACAGGAGATGACCAGAGACTGCGGACAGTACAGGAGATGACCAGAGACTGCGGACACAGTACAGGGATGACCAGAGACTGCGGACACAGTACAGGAGATGACCAGAGACTGCGGACAGTACAGGGATGACCAGAGACTGCGGACACACAGTACAGGAGATGACCAGAGACTGGGGACACAGTACAGGGATGACCAGAGACTGCGGACAGTACAGGGATGACCAGAGACTGCGGACAGTACAGGGATGACCAGAGACTGCGGACAGCACAGGGATGACCAGAGACTGCGGACAGCACAGGGATGACCAGAGACTGCGGACAGCACAGGGATGACAGAGGACTGCGGACAGCACAGAGATGACCAGAGACTGCGGACAGCACAGGGATGACCAGAGACTGCGGACAGCACAGGGATGACCAGAGACTGCGGACAGCACAGGGATGACCAGAGACTGCGGACAGCACAGGGATGACCAGAGACTGCAGACAGCACAGGGATGACCAGAGACTGCGGACAGTACAGAGATGACAGAGACTGCGGACCTTTGGGGAGGGAGGGGGAGCGGGTACCTGAATTTGACAGGTACCCGCTCTTACTTCCGCAGAGTTTTTTTTTTTTATCTTACCTGTTCCTCGATCCAGCCGCGCGCTGTCTTTCCGGCTTCTGTAGTGTGGGCGCTCGTCGGACAGCCGGTATGCCCAGTGCGCATGCGCGAGAAGCGCTGCGCTTTGTGATTGGTCCGGCGGCTTCTGGGATCTGTCATGTGTCCCAGGTACCGCCTTACCATTCACAAACAGCACTGCTTCTTGTGCATGCGCACTTGGGACCCGGCTGTCACGCACACTACAGCCGGGAAGACAGCGCGCCGCTGGATTCTCCTGGCGTGCCCACAGATAAGGCTCGGCGTGCCGGCTGTGGCACGCGTGCCACGGGTTCGCCATCACTGGCCTAGGGTACCAGCAAAAAGGAATTTTACTGACCTAATCCTTCGCTCTTCCGCCACGCCTTAAGACCAGCCCCCAGCCTCCTTTCTGACTGGTTGTAGGTCCTCTGATGTCATCATAGTACAATGCAGGACCATTTTTTCCTGGCATTGTACATTGAGGATGTGGAGTGACCACCAGCGGCGGAACTGACAACTCATGGGGCCCCCGGGCAATAGGGGATCATGGAGCCCCTGTGTCCTTGCCCAAAACTCAAAAAGCCTATGAAAAAGGTACCAGGGGCATCTCATGGGGCACCCTACTGACCCCGGGCCCTCGGGCAGTGCCCTGGTTTCCAAATGGTCAGTCGCCCCCTGGGGACCACTCACAACCCGCAAAGGGTAAACCCAGTTAGAAGATCTGAGCGCCACCTGCAGGGGGAGGAAGGATAAGGCAAGACCCTTTTTTTCTTGACACATTGCAATCCCACTGCCATATTGCGGCACGTTTACATCGCAAGGTATGTTGCCTATAGGACATTGGGGTGCCATTCAAAAAGAATGGCACCAGATAGCACAGGTTACATACAGTTTACACATCTCTGCAATGCGAAA